CATCCAGCAGGCTGAGGTATTTGGGATAATGCTCCTTAAGATAAGATGTTAGAAAGAAATAAAAAGAAAATTAATGTATGCACTTTTCATCCATTTTTTTTATATTTAATTGAGTGTGGCAATGAGAATTCATTAAAAAAAAAACATTCTTTTTCTGATGCTGTTGTTGTTTATTTCAAATTTTTAAGAAAAAAAAAAGATAAACAAATTCAGCCCTTTTGGTTTCATTTCAGTCCTTGGTCCTTTATTACCTTTATTTGCTGTTTATCACAGCCAAGCGTAACTTATACATATGACGATATTGATTAACTGAATAACTCATCCTAATAGATGGGGAAACATCTAATTTGCATTTCCTTTCTTTTTTTTAAGATTCTAAAATTCCACTCAAAATTTCTTACCCAGCTAGAGAGTGTAACCTTAAAAGGCAGGGATGAAATGGCCATAGTTTGGGAGAATTCTTGCACAGCCGGTTCTGTTTATTAGCCAAACCAACCAATTGTCTGTGGGGATGTTTTCTGTACCCCATGAAGCTTGGCTGTATGTGGTAATAGCACACTTGGTCCAGTAAAATATAATAAAAAAGAAGGGAAAGAACTGCTAAAGACTGCCTACCTGTCTATGGTGTACCCCATCTTTCACCCATAGAATGCAGCCAGTGAGCCAAATTCCCTTTTTCGGAGGGTACATTCCAGTGCATAAATCATTAATCTGCTTTATTCATTAAAATTTATGTTAAGTTTATACTGGCTGACCTGAAAAAGACATTTGTTCATTGCAACAAAAAAAATCCTGTGCTCAAAAAGACCTTTCCAAACCAAGCTCCTAGGTTGTGTTTTAACCCCAGCCAGTTTTAAGGGCAAAATTTAAATGAAATTTATGAAAAGAAGAATATGCAGATAAAAATATGAAGAAATTTTGATGTAACTAACATAAAATAAAGAATAAAGAAACTTTAATTGTTCCTTTAGCCACATTCTATTATTAAACCTCCCCATTGTGAACACAAGCTAAGAGAAATATTGCATATATATATATTTCATCAAGTCATATTGAGTTAGAAATGTTGGAATAAACATTTTCTGAATGTAATATACCAAAGCGGCTACCCAATTTGGTCTGAGACAGCAATGTGAGTTATAAATTACTGAATGTTTTGAAGCAATCACTTGAAATCAGCTGAAACTGCCATTTCAGGTTTGTTTAAATTTTAAATTGCCTATTAGCACAGTTTGTTTTTTCCCCTTGCTGGGACCACAAGATCCTGTCAGTGGTATTTTATTAATCCAAAGCTGAAAACTTAAGGAACCACCAATTTAACATCTTGCACTAACCAAAATATACAGTAACTTAACTCCTAGTCCTATGAGTTCCTCGTAGGACTGAATGAAGTCCACTACAATAACATAACATTTTAACCATGAATGTCATCAAGTCATTATCAAGCTATGCTACATGTAGTCCAATGCAATTGAAATTTCAAATATGTACCCCACAATAGGTTGGTATTGAATTAGCTAAGGTTTCT